ATAGGAACCCCAAGTTCCCCACACAGTCAAAGGGAGAAATAAAGTTAAGAAACCCTTTTACTTCTTACAAGCAGTGGTCCTGTCTCTCTTTTGACCTAACTGCAGAAGAGTGCCCCACCCAACCTCTCCAGTCCAGATACATCCTTGCACACCCTTGTAATTACTTATTGATATGTAGACGGACTAATTCTCTCCATCCCTTGGAAACACCTGTTGATATGCAGATGCACTAATGCCAGGCGAGATATTCTGGAAATATTGCAATTTTATCCTCAAGGATCAAGAAGTGTAATCTACATAGTCTTGTGTTATACTTCTGGGTTCTTTGTGATGGAACCCAAAAGGATGGTGTGGATAAAGTGAAGGTTCCTGTGGCCAGGATTCTCACCTTTCCCTGGTTGGCTTGCTCACTACATGTGTGGGTAATATGTTGTTATTGACTCTATATAAAGAGTTCTGCCCAGTGCTCTCAGTGACACAGTTGGCACAGCTTCAAGACTGCAGGAGAACAGAGATGAGACTGGAGTGGTGGCAGCACTGAGGACAGAGACTGAGAAGGCTGCATAGGTAGAGAGGTCTAGAGGCAGAGACCAGCTTGCTGCATGCAGACTCACTCTGAATGGACGGAATTCTAGTGATTGACTTGCCCCTGTGTAAATAAAGTTGGGTATAGTCCTTTCACCCCAGGAACATTCTACTGTCATTCCTGTGGTCACATTGAATCCACAGTGAATTTGCCTCAGTCTGAAACCATTAGCAAGACAGATGGAAAGACAATTACAATTAATAGTTAATTTTCAATAAATATATGAACAATCTTGGGTAATTTTAAGTCTCAGTTAGGAATGAGATAATAAAGGAAAAAGTAGTCAACATATATTTCCTGTTCTAGTTTCTTTAAGGTGAACAGATGTTCCATTCTGTCAGTTCCATTTTTTTTTTCAAATGACCTACCCTATGTAGAGTGTAAACTTTAGATAAAGAAATGCCAATATCTTGAGATTTCTCTCTCTAGATTCAACCACATTTTAATTTAGTGAGACCTAGTAGCTCACAGAGTTATCATAAGTATTTCACAAGTGGCAGGAAGCATTCTTTGTACTTTTTTCAGGGGTAGTCACTGACTACAGGTGCATACTGTAAGGGATGGTGAAAGCACAGAATTTAGCTCCTTTCATTTCTTTGCCCTCTGTACACTTCTTGCCAACTCCCTTGTCCATTTCTTAGCCTACACTGGCAATATCTATCCACTTTAAATTCCATGAAATCTAGGTGTGTTAGGTACTTGGGTTATCTCAACAAACCAAACAGACCAAAAATCAACACAAAGCAAAACAAAAGAAACCTCACCCCTGTAGAATGGGAAAGGATGCCCTGGAGTACAAGGTAATCTGTAAAGTGAAGCAGGGACTCAAGAGAGGTGATTAGAATGATGAAGTCTAAGTGCTTCCCACCCATCAACCCAAATCAGGAGGTCTCCCTCTGCTTTCTGGACGGAGATAGCAGCCAACAATGTTAGACTCTAATAGGATATGAGTTGTTGTCTTGCCAATGGGTTTTAGCCCCGGGCAAATTCACAATGGATTCAGTGAGACTGAGAAATGACAATGGAATATTCTTGGGGAAAAAGGGTTTATTACCTGGCTTGTTCTCCCTGCATTCAACAGTCTGTAGGTCTGTAATCCTCCTTAGTCTCTGCCTCTGCCCAAAGCACTGGGCACAGCTCTATATAGTGACTCAGTCAATAATAGCTTATTGCCTAGGGTATAAGCAGTAGCCTAGCAGTAGGCCAGTTACATCATCAAGAGGTTAGGTTCAGGTGAAGATTCTGGCCACAGGAACTTCAATTTTTCCCACAGTTGCATGCACTTCTGATCAAAGCCTTAAAGGTGTTAGTGATTGTGGGTAAAATTGTAATATTTCCAGAATGTCTTGCCTGGCTTTAGTACATCTGCATATCAGCAGACACTCAAGGGTGCAGAGAAGTATGGCTTTAGAGCATTTGCATCATTCCTCATGGGTGGAGAGAAGTTCATCTTCATATCAATGGGTAATTACCTGGGCAAATAAAAGCGTGTCTGAACCCGAGAGGTTAAGGGGAGGGGCTGGCTTGCTTGCTGGCTTACTTCTTCCGGAGCAGAGGAGAGAGATGGCCCTGGACTGCAGCTTGTAGGTGAGGGGGAGGGCCGGTTTTGCTTCTGCTGGAGCAGGAAAGAGAGAAGGCCCCGGACTGCAGTTTGTAAGCAATAAACGAATTTTAAACTTTATTTCTCCCTTGACTGATTTTGGATTTTAGAGGTATTTTGCCCTGGGATTTCCTTTACCTGGACGTACAGTGACTTTATTTTTATTTTAGTAATTCAGGTAAATTTTAAATGACTATAGATAATAGTAACAATGGAGAGTATCAACTATACATTTGTATCTTATATATAAGATGATTCTATATATTTACTCCATTTGATGGCTATATCAATCTTGTGTCCAGAATAAGAAAGGTAGCTTTGTTTGCCCCCTTTTTACAAAAAATAACTTTAAGGAAATGCTATCAGATGGGCCAAAAAAGGGGCCAAGCTTGAACTAGAATGCACTTCCTTTTTTGCCTTTTTGCCTTCTAGTACATCCTACTGGGACTAAGAGAGGCCTTAGCATTTCAGTCTTGTTAGGGAAATATCCCATAGTTAAGTCTTTAATTGTTTAGTACAGAGAGTAGCAATTCAGGATGGGAGAGAAATAAAAACCTTAATAATTGGGTAAGTCTGTAAGCAAAACCTGGGTGTGGGAGAATGTAATTTCATTAACATAAAAACACACGAATCCTTACTTTAGGCTCTATTCTGCTAGGTCTATAGGTTACCAAAGTGATTAAGAATAGGTCCTATCTTTGAGAAACTTTCTGACTAGGAGAGCAGGTCAGAATCTAGTGACCTGGACTGGGAAGAATTGATTAGGATTTATACCATGTGCTCAGAGGAAGGGTGGTTCAGATAGTCAGATCAAAAGAGAAGGCAGAGCAGCACCCAACTTTGTTAGTCGGCTATGCCAAAGTGATCCATTTTTTGTTTTTGTTAAGTGATCTTCATCATAAACATGTTTGAAAATGGGGATAAAAATGACTTCTTTCAGCTGTAATTCCTCTGCCCCCCTCCTTCCCTTTTAAAGTTTTGAAACTCTCAGGGGCCACATTTGAAGGCAGAAAACTTTTTCTATGTATTAATATAACCATTATACAGTGGTGATATATCAAAGAGTGAAATCAACTCTAAATTCGTTTTGAAACAAGTTTGGGAACTTGGAATTGAGCCACGCCTATGCCACTAACTGGCTATGTGATCTTGGGCAAGTAACTTCTCAGGATGTCCCCTTTCCATCTTTAAGAAGAGTATGATCCAAAGACCCACCTCACAGGGTTTTCTGAGGACGATTTAAAATAACGCTTGTGAAATTAACTCCACTGAGAAAGTGAAGGTTCCTATGGTCTGCTTGCTCACTACATACGTGTGGGCAACACATTGTTGTTGACTGTATATAAAAGAGCTCCACCCAGTCAGTGCTCTGGGTTGCTGCATGGCTGCAGGGTTGCAAGGCTGCAGGAGAGCAGAGAGGAGTGGTGGCAGCACCAAGGACAGAGACTGAGATGCCTGCAGGGGCAGAGAGGCCCTAAAACAGACCGGCTTGCTGCATGCAGACTTGCTCTGAGTGGACAGGTTTCTAGTGACTGACCTGCCACCGTGGCAATTAAGTTGTGCATACACCCTTTCACCCCAAGAACGTTCCACTGCCATTTTTTTGGTCTCATCGAATCCATAGGGAACTTGTCCCGGGCTGAAACCCATTGGCAAGACACACATCTAAGGTGCTTTTGTTATCCCCTAGTTCTTCCAGTCCTGCCATTTTGAGATTTGGTGCATCAGAATCCAGAGCCTTTAAACTTCCCGCGGATGCCTGACGTCTTTCCTCATACCCACCTATGTCCCTCACGGGTGGGTGCCGCTCGTGCGGACTGAGTCTACAGAGTGAGGTCTTGTAGCCTAAGTCATACACTCCGGAGGGTCAGCAAAGAGGAACAGAAAACTGTTTTCGGCTGTGGTAACAAACCTACGGCGAGAGTAGAATGTCAAAACACATCTCCTTTGCGCAAGCGTAGTGGCTGACCCGTGCCTCCTGCCTCCGGGAGGAGGCGGGTCGTGACGTGCCTCCGTCAGGCGCACGACGTTAAGTGGCGCGCGCCGACGGCCAGTTCGTGCGGTTGCGGAGTGGAGCGGCGCCGTCTGCGGAGCTCGCCTGCTGGAGACGGGGCGGGGCTTCTGCCTGGCGGAGGTGGACGCCCTTACCCGCGGAGGAGGCGTAACTTCCGCTTGTCGGCTCTCGCGCTGCAGTCAGTTACTAGGCAGCGTAGCCATCGAGACGGTTCTGTCGGTCCGTTTACGAAAGCATCTGTCCCTAGGTTATACAAGGACAGGCTTAGGGCGGTGACTGTTATGCCGAACTCGCGGCCCAGGCCCCGCCGGGGCACCGCGAGAGGCTCCGGGGCAGCCGGGCGCCACGAGCTGGTGTCGCGGTCCTTGCAGAGTGCAGAGCACTGCCTGGGCGCCCAGGACTTCGGCACCGCCTACGCCCACTATCTCCTCGTGCTCAGCCTGGCGCCGGAGCTGAGAGACGAAGTGAAGGTGAGGAGGGCCCCTCTTTCGCTTGCTCACAGATCTTGTGTTCTCGTAAAAATAAATTGGGAGAGGGGGTTAAGGTGAGTGGCTGGTGGTTGCTATTATTTATTGTTCCCCCCCTTGACTCCTTTTGTTCACACCCGCAACCAGCCCATCAGAAAATCCTTTCGGCTCCGCCTTTGAAATAATGTACAGAATCTTAGCACTTCTTTACCTCCTTCCCCTTACTAGCCTGGGTCAGGCCTCAGTTATCTGCCGACCGTCGCAGCTAGGCCTTGTGCGATCCATCTCAACACAGCCAGAGTAAGTTTTTCTTATAAGTCAAATGATGACACTTCTCTGTTTTAAAACTTCCACCTCACTCAAAATTCCAAAGGCCATTTTGCAATGAGGCCCAGGTGGTCTCCCTCTTCCTGTATGTAATTCTAGGACTTCCCTGCCTCGGGGCCTTTGCAGTTGTCTCGACTGTACTTAACAGAAATGTGGTGGGTATCTGTAGTTAACATAAGCTAAGTATTTGATGATGCATTCTTTAAGCTTCAGTTATTGGATTATTTGTGACAGTTGAAATGCTGTATATTCATTTCAAGATACTTTAGAAATTAAATTTTGAAAAATGATTTAATGTACTCTTACATTCAGCTTTCAGCCTCAGGCTACATGCCTTTATTTCATCCAGGGGTATTCAACCTCCACACTACTGACCTTTTTGCATGGGACCTTTTGCATTAAAAGTATATCTAAAGTTTGTTTTTCAATGCTTGGTGTTCGGTAGGGCTCAGTAATGAGTTCTGTTGCCTACAGACTGACGTTTGTATTTTTTTGTTAGGGCCTTTGCAAAGACGTATCTCTTTTGTCTTATTTCCTGCTACTCCCTCTGCTCCCTATACCCACACTTCAGCCACACAAGCTAGATTGCCTGATCCCCTTCATATAATCTGTGCTTTTTATTTTTTTTGCCCTTCCACACCCTGGAATCTTCTTCCTTATCTTTGTCTCTCTAGTAAAACCCATCAAGATTCAGTTCCGGGTATCAATTCTTCTGCATAAAATATGTGAAGATAATGTGAGATGTTTTCATGATAAAGCTGGATGACCAAAGCTTTCCCTCTTGTCACTGTGTTGCAGTGGAGAAAAGGTTGGAGGGAGGTGAGATTGGAGTGAGGGTGACTTTGGGAAAAGCTGTTGCTTTAAGTCAAGCAAGTGGTTAGAAGGGCCAGATTACGTTGTAACAGTGGGTGGAGGGGAGATAACAGGTTTAAAGATATGGAGAGAGAATTGGCTGGTTTTGAAATGAAATTATATTGGAGGGAAGGTAGCATTCATTATAAGGTGTCTTTGTGGTTTGAGGTTGGGTGATGCCCTAACCTTATATTCTCTGTGTAAGGAATATGATAGGTTCAGTTTAGAACATTCTGAATTTTTTCAAAATTGTATGTTAAATTTTTCTCTACAAGTCCTCTGAGGATAGGAATGGGATTTATGTTGTTTATTGCTGTGTTTTAGTCACAGTTCTTTGCAGACTGATTGTTCAGAATATATTTGAGTTCAACTGAACTTGAGATGGCTGAGGATGCCATCCCTGGTTGAGATGACTAACAGGAAATTTTATCTATGAGTCAGGTTCAGAAGAGGGTTTTGATTGAAGATGCAGATGTAGCATCCATTAGCACATAAGTGAAAGTTAATGCATTGGGGATGGATCAGAAAAGAGAAGAGGGCCAAAAACAACTCCTAAACATAGGAGCCCCCCTGCCCAACACTCACACAAAAGTAAGTGGATAATGTGATATGTTAGCTGAGAATGAAGAGAGTGGTCACACTAATTCTGCATGTTATTGCCACTAGATGGTAAAACTTATTAATTGATGCATTTATTTAGCCTTCCAAAGCTAAATAAAATTTAAGGTGATTGTTAAGTATTAGTTCTATCCTCTATGGAATCTTCAGCCAATGTACATTTTTCCGTGATTTGCAGTACTGACTAATTTACTGTTTTCTCTTTAATAAAGGAAACTTTTCAGTATACACTCTTCAGATGGGCTGAAGAGCTTGATGCTCTCAATCGAATACAAGACTTACTTGGTTGTTATGAGCAAGCTTTGGAACTACAGTACTGACTAATTTACTGTTTTCTCTTTAATAAAGGAAACTTTTCAGTATACACTCTTCAGATGGGCTGAAGAGCTTGATGCTCTCAATCGAATACAAGACTTACTTGGTTGTTATGAGCAAGCTTTGGAACTGTTTCCTGATGATGAAGTGATTTGCAATAGTATGGGGGAGCATCTCTTCAGGTTCGTAGTGATTTCAGTATTGTTAAGAATTACTCGATATCAGTCTTGATCAGAGAAAAATAGTACAGCAATTTGAAGGGGAAAGTTTAATATAAAAAAGTATTAACTATAATGGGGGATCAGAGAATGAGGGATTGGCTAGTAAGAAATGAAGTGAACTCTAAAGAATAGCAAATATAACATGTAGTAACAGAGCACTTTTAATATTATATACACATAATAGCCACTGCTTCTAGGGCTGAATTGGAATATCCAAGGGAGAGTTCTCTGGGCTATGTATGATCCAGAGCTTGTTGGCATGATTTAGCTTTGGGTCACAGGACATCAGAAGAGTCACTGTGGGTGTTGCCAGGGAACTTGTTATAAATCTGTTCTCTGGAAGTTGCTGGAAATTGCCATTGGAATTTTTGTCTACTCTCAGAAAGAAATTTAATAATTAGGGAAACTGGTAAAAACCAAACATTTTTGTTTTCGATTTGTTTTAATCTGATTTCACGTGTTTCTACAAAGTACAGGGAGACTTCTTGTTTAGGAAACACCATGTTAGGGCCCTATTCTATAGAGGAAGATCATTTTCCATGTTCCAGCAGTTTTCCTCTAGTATTACTGCTTTGCTCATCTCTTCTTACTAAGCAGTATTCAATGAAAAGTTCTAAAGAGATATGTTTAGTCAGTGCCAGTAATACAACTGCTATAGAGTGTAATAGACTTAATTGAAATGTCCTGAAGTGTGAAATGAGTACTCCTTTAAGGGACAAATATTTGATAATTGTGGAGTATGATAATAACCAGGAAAATACGCCAGACTGTCAACTGAGGTGTGTTCACACTAACAGCTAACCTGATCCTGATATACAGACTCCATCTCTACAAATTAGCAACCACTTTCCATTTAAATGAAATTTAGTTTAAAAAGATTTTAAAATCAGTCCTCAAATTAGTTAAAATCTACATTTTAATTTCAGTTTTCTTTAGTTCTTCAGTATGTAAGGGGAGTTACTCTGTGGTATTTAATTATATTTCCAGATTGTACACATGCTAATGATCATAACATTCTAAGACTTACGTTTCAGGATAAACTCAATTTATCAGAAAATTGGGGCTCTGCACACCCATAGCAGATTGTAATTATTGGTGACCTGTTGTAAGACATTAGCCCAAGCAATTACCAGTTGTTGAGAAAAAAAAATGGTTGGTGTTAGTTTTTGCTTTGGGAAGATATAACTATGCAAAATTTCTAATCAGACATTGGCAGTTCAGAACTTGTGTTAAATGTGGCTTTGCTGCACAGTTTACCTTTGTTTTGTAGAACAGTGGTTCTTAGCTTTTGTTCTGTTCTACTTTTGTCAACCAGAGCAGTGTATCTTATCACTCACTCCGCACTAAGAATTGCTCTAGGAAAAGATTTCCAAAGTAAATGATAGCTTCCTTGCTTGACATTTATTTGTGAACTAAAATTTGTCTGGAATATCTCAACTTTCCAATCTTGTGTTGGTCCAGTGGCATCAGATTTAAACAAAATATATTTAAATTATTAATCAGGAAGATAACATTTTCTCTAGTTAAAAGAAAAAACGCCTTTTAGTTCATTGGTATTGACATTCATGTTGAGCCTTTCAACATGAGATATACTTTGAATAGATCATATTTTTTTTAGGTTATCATTGCAGTTAAAGATAACTGAGTGACACATTAAAGGTGAAACCTAAGGGAAGTAGAAACAGGAAACTATTAGGAGAACATTTGGCATTGATTTAGCAGATGTTGTTAGTTGAAATTTTAAGATATCCATTGCTAAGTTAGTCTCTCAACAAATAATGACTACATACAATATATTTTGTATTATACTGTGTGCTGTGGCAGTTGCTGAGTTAATAGACAGCTCTTCCTTCATGATACTTGATAATATACTTAATTAAACATTACTGTTTTAACCTAAAACACGAGAGCCTGTCATTTGACATGGGGCCATTGCCTTTTGTTAGAGTGTGGTTCCCTGTTCGGAGTTCAAGAATGTCTTTTTTTTCTTAACCCACACCCAGAATGAGTGGTCTGTGATTCAGGTTCTTTAAAATTGATAGAATGCTTCAAGGTTCTTTTGAGGAAGTATGAGTGTAAAAGTGTCCTGCTAGCTTAGTTTTCTTCAATGTGCGGATCACACCCTGCTGCTCGTCCAAAAAGTACCAGTCGGTGACAGATATCTCAACTTTCCAATCTTGTGTTGGTCCAGTGGCATCAGATTTAAACAAAATATATTTAAATTATTAATCAGGAAGATAACATTTTCTCTAGTTAAAAGAAAAAACGCCTTTTAGTTCATTGGTATTGACATTCATGTTGAGCCTTTCAACATGAGATATACTTTGAATAGATCATATTTTTTTTAGGTTATCATTGCAGTTAAAGATAACTGAGTGACACATTAAAGGTGAAACCTAAGGGAAGTAGAAACAGGAAACTATTAGGAGAACATTTGGCATTGATTTAGCAGATGTTGTTAGTTGAAATTTTAAGATATCCATTGCTAAGTTAGTCTCTCAACAAATAATGACTACATACAATATATTTTGTATTATACTGTGTGCTGTGGCAGTTGCTGAGTTAATAGACAGCTCTTCCTTCATGATACTTGATAATATACTTAATTAAACATTACTGTTTTAACCTAAAACACGAGAGCCTGTCATTTGACATGGGGCCATTGCCTTTTGTTAGAGTGTGGTTCCCTGTTCGGAGTTCAAGAATGTCTTTTTTTTCTTAACCCACACCCAGAATGAGTGGTCTGTGATTCAGGTTCTTTAAAATTGATAGAATGCTTCAAGGTTCTTTTGAGGAAGTATGAGTGTAAAAGTGTCCTGCTAGCTTAGTTTTCTTCAATGTGCGGATCACACCCTGCTGCTCGTCCAAAAAGTACCAGTCGGTGACAGATAAGTGTAGAAATTGGGCGTAAGCATCTGGAAATGTACATAGCGGTTTGACATGGCTGTAAATTAAACTTGTAATCAGGGAACTCGTTGAAAAGAGTGGAGACCGGTTTGGGTGCTGCTGGTGTGTGAGTGGCATGCTCATCTAATCATGTGCAGTACAACTGTTGTGGTCTCCAAATGATTAGGTATTTATAAAAGGGGAGGATGAATTCTTCACAGAAAGTTTAAGAAGCACTGTTCTAGATAAGTAGTTTCACCCCATCTTTAACTTGATTTGCTCACATCTAAATTAATAGCAGTTTTTTTGTTGACTCAAGCTTTAATTATTTTCCAAAACATTTAGCTTTGTGTCCTTAGAAGCAATGGCTGTCTTTTCGCAGTCATACTTATTTAATTTCTGTAATAGTTAATTAAAATATGTAATTATAATAACAAGTAAAACTGGTGTAAACTGATCGGGCAGCAAACATAGCTGACTCTTGCTGATCATATACTCAGTTGCTAAGAGAGAAGGTATGCAGGCACACCAGAGAGGAGCCTGCTTGTCCTAGGTGTTAGTATGTTTTACAGTTATAGAAAGCACTGGTGTTCTAGTAAATTGGTTAAATGGATGATGATTATGAGAGCTTCGACTAAACTTTAGTACTATGTAATTTATAGTTGAGTCCTTGTTAGTGTCCTCAAATGCATAAATACAGTAGGGTTTCAGAAAGGAAAGAAATGGTGAGAACTGCAGTCTTCACAAAAGGCTTCGGGAAGAAGGTGGCATTTGAGTAGGATTTGGGGTGCTGGTGTGGGATTCTCAGGCTAGCTGAGTGGCATGAACAAAGGCATTGCAATTGATAGCATACAGTTGAATGTTTTTCTGTCATTTTTTACTCTAGACTAGGCTTTAGAGATGAAGCTGCTGGGTATTTTCATAAAGCAGTGAAACTAAACCCTGATTTCAGTGATGCCAAGGAGAATTTTTATCGTGTTGCTAACTGGTTGGTGGAACGCTGGCACTTTATCATGCTTAATGACACCAAACGGATTGGGTAAGTACAGTGGATTATTTTATCTTAATAGAGCACTTTTTCCCTTTGTAGCATGTTTGCTAAGAAAGCTGGAGCATACCCAGTGTATGCCTGTGAGTTATCCAGAACCATGTATGAACTTGCTTGTGATGTGCTGGCAGCAAACAGGATGGAAGCAGGGATCAAACTCTTACATATGAAGTCACTTGACATAGAAATCCCAAAACACATTCCTGAAAGGTATTACAATGTAAATGAATTTTAATGTTTGTAATCCACCATTCTGTTTTTAAAAATTAAGATATTTACATTTCTAGCTTCTAGTCCCAACAAAAATGCTAAAAGCCTTATACTATGTTGTAAACATACGAATATAGGATAACCAGATTTTCATAAATAAGGTCATATTGACAAAAATTAAAGATCTTTAGAGAAATTTGTGGCAAGGGACTTAAATAAACTTGACTTTTAGCAAGTTCCTTTACCTTTGTTAGTTTCAGTGTTCTAATTGTGAAAATGGATAATACCTCTGTGGTCAATATCTATTTAAAAATTGTACTTAAAAATAATACGTAAGTATATCAGGTTTAATGGACTTCTATTTTGTGTATCCTTGACTAAAAAGAAAGCTTTGGAAGTGTCAGCTGTTGTGTATTTTGGCCTGGTCCCTTCAAACACTTCGAATATTATCCCCTAAGTCTTGTTTTTTTGTATAATTATTGTACTTTTATTCATATCACAAGGGTAATGGAATTTTAGAGCTTGCAGGGATTTAAAAATCATCTGGTCCAGTGTAGAGTCAGTGCAGCACGTTACTACCTCTCCTGGGTAGTCTTCTCATTTTACTTAAATTCAGTTTATATTGAAAGAGGACTTTCCTATAGTCTATTGTCATTGGATTATGAGTTTAGAAAGTTGTCTTCCATATATATAAAATAATACTTATATTAGATAATATAATAGAAGCTTTTCAATGGCTTCTACATTTGTTTTCATGAGAGAAGTCCTACTAGGACTTCTAAATGATTTGAGATACCTCCACATTCTGACTATATATAGTCCTATAATATGTGTTGAGGCAGATATTACCCCCATTTTAGAGAAATAAAGTGTCCTGAACTGTCTTAGTTTGCTCAGGTTTCCATAACAAAGTATCACAGACTAGGTGGCTTACAACAGACATTTCCTCACAGTTCTCGAGGCTGAGAGTCTGTCATCAAGGGTACCAGCGAGTTTCGTTTCTGGTGAGAGCTCTCTTCCTACTTTGCACATAGCTCCCTTCCTGCTGTGCCCTCACCTGGCCTTTCCTCTGTGCGCATGAGGAGTGAAGTCACCTGCATCTTCCACTTTAATAAGGACACCAGCCCTATCAGATTAGGGCCCCACCCCTGTGACCCCCATTTATTCTTAAGATCTCCTTAAGACCCTGTCTCCAAATACAGTCACTTTGAGGGTTAGGGCTTTAGCATATGAATTTTGGTGGTATGCAGTCCATAGTATGACCCAAAGTTACCTTTATTTTATCTGCTTTTTCTCACAGATAGTATTGTAGCAGGATCTGCTGGCTTTGGATCAGGAGATAGGAATTTCAATACAGACTCTGTTACTAATTTATTTTGATTTTGAGCAAATTGAGAGACTTCAAGATGTTGAACTAAATGATTTAAGATACCTTCTACATTCTGAATATATGCACAATCACAGATATTGACAAATTTGTGTC